AATAAACATAGTAAACAACCAATCTCAACATAAAACTCCAAAAACATAACTGAAGCTGTAAGCATATAAACAGCATGCATAACCAGCATCCAATCATGACAGCATAATATAACAGCAATCTAACTCAGCTCCGGCCTCCTGCCGCCTGAGGTCTCAACATTACCTGATCCTGAAATAAGCATTCCCCAAACGTGGGGTGAGATCTCTAAACAAGAAATCTCAGTAAGACAAAGGGGTCCTCAAGGATCTTCCACCCCAAGCTCACTTACATGTGCAATATAAGTTCTAAAAGCATTTATATCATTATCAGTTCCAAAACTAGTTCCAAAACTATGTAGTGCAACATATATCCATGGCATGTGTGTAATCACTATCTACTGGCCAGAGAAATGTAGGAATACGTCTATTCCCTACATGTAGTACAAGGAACACCGCTTGCACCTCACCCACAGCCTCACCCTCTTGTATGTTCTACATACTCAGGCTTACCGTATAGGTGGAACACCTCCATGCATATCCACAAGGCACTAACATACAATAGCTCAACAACATTTCCAAGACATCAAAAGCATGTAACACAACATGCATATACCATATCCCCATGGGACATGGTGGAACCACAACATGGCTAAATCGAGGACACGAAAGCTTACCTCTAAGCTAGCTATCCAATGCCACAAGCTCAAAGTCCAATCACAGCAGATCATAATCTGATATGGACCAAATATAAATCAATAAACATGTACCACATGCATACAAATTAAAGACAACACCTTTTCATTACGTTTTAATGTCTTAAAGCTTATAACAAAGCCACAAGCCCTAAATTCCATGATTCTGGCTTAGTCCATTAAATACGGAAGTTCAACTTCATCAATCTAGGGTCCACAAACCCTCAATAGCCTATTGTACACACAGCACAGCTACTGTTCTGCGAAATCCCAGAATATCCGAATATTACTCGGGACCATATCCGGATATGCAATATCCGGATATCTCACTGTCCATATCCGGATAGGTAATATCCGGATATACAGATTCCCATATCCGGATATCCAATATCCAGATATCTCAAAACCCCATATCCTGATATCACATATCCGGATATCCAATATCCGGATATTCCATGGGCAGATATTCGGATATTTCACGACAGAATGCAGTTTCTGCATTTCGTGAAGATATCCTTCAAGGTTGGGTTTTTACCGATTTTAAACACTTAAACATGCATTTCTAGATGTGTTAAGCCTTACCCAACAACAAGTTATCATCTTTTAACCTTAACATGCATCAAGCTTCCATTTTTGAGCATAAAAATCAAGATCAAAGGGTGGTATAACATACCAAGGCTCAAAACTCAGAATGGAGATGCTCTTGGAGCTCAACACAGCCCCTCAAGTCTGACTCAAGGATGTGCACGAAAATGTACAAGAAGTAGGTCTTTCACTCAACAAGAAGGCACCTTGGAGCATCAAAATGCCAACAAAAGGTCACACCCCTCAAGAACAGAAAACGCAGCTATTCAAACTCCCTCACACAGGTTCTCTAACTCAGAAACAGCACCACAATGCAGTCCCAAGGCCAACCCTCACCCTTACCAAGTGTTTAAATGGAAGAACAAACATCAAAGGTGAATGCTTGCTCAAGAAATTGAGGAGAAATGGATGAAACAGTGACACAATCAGACCAGCCACCAAATCCCACGAAGAAGAGGCAGTTTTCTAGGGCATTGTGCCCTTAGTAAGAGTATATATAGCCAAAACTCACTTAAGCACACAATATTAACTTTAATTGCTACGCTTAACATTTTAATCCCAAACTTTGGATTCTGAAACTACACATTTTTCCAAGAATTATTATATTTTTATTACATTTTTCTGAGCACCTTTCCGGTACGCGCTTTTCAAAGCCAGTACCGGTTTCTAGCACCAGTTCTCATTATTTGGACTTGAAACTCGTTTTACAAGTCCTACATATTATTCTAGTAATTATCATGCACTTACTTTAATTTTTCTGGATACTTTTTCGGTACGCATTTATACCGACTAGCAGAACCGGTATCTGCACTTTTCTTCCGAAAAACGACTTTCAGCATTCTTAATCACTTACCATAATTATTAAAGCCTCTTAATAATTATTAGGGTCAATTATGGAATCATTTCCTAATTTTGCATAATTAATTAATTAAATACCTTAATTAACGGTGCGGGTGGGAAAAAATTACCTTATTTAAATTTGAATTTTGAACTTGATGGGTAGAAAAAAATTTAGCATTTAATATTTATGCATTGGGAAAAAAAATATATTATAAATTTACATATATTATAAAATTATAGATTAAATAAAAAATATTTAAAATTATAAAAAAATATGTAAAGTTGATAAAAAGTAATTTAATTATGAAATTTAACTGCCAAAAAAGAATGACTTATTTATACTTTAAAAGAAAATAAATTAAAGTAACTTGAAAAAATAATATAAAAAGAGAAAAAAAAATTCGTAAAAGTATTTTTTTTAACATAGCCGTTTTAAATATATATGTATAACCAATATAAAAATTATAAATTAAAAGATAAAAATTAATTCTTTAAAATATATGTAGAATTAATACATAATAATTGAAAAAATTTATTTAAATAAAAAATGACATCTACCATTCTGTAAAAAATTATTATAAAAATATAAACTCTATAAAAATGAATGATTATTTAGTGACCATCCAACTCATACATTATAAAAATATGTTAGCGATTAAGTATTCTACAGACTATTTTAATGTTTCTCACTACTTCGTGAATGAAAAATTGTTAATCTTATTAATAGTGTTTAAGAGTTTATGTCTATTGCGTAGGAAATATTTAATATTTAAATTCAAACTATTTAAATTTGAAATTTGTATTTGATGTGCAGGAAAAGAGTTCAGCATTTAATATTTTTGCAGTGGGAAAAAATATATATATAATAAATTTAAATATAATATAAAATTTTACATTAAAATAAAAAATATTTAAAAATACAAAAATATATGTAGAGATGATAAAAAATAATTATAATTTGAAATGTAACTGCAAAAAAATAAGATTGACTTATTTATATTTAAAAGAAAATAAATTAAAATTTCAACTTAAAAAATAATAAAAAAGAGAAAAAAAATTCGTAAAAGTATTTTTCTAAAAAAGATTTATCGTAAACATTTTAAATATCAAAAAAATATTTATGCAGTTACTGCAGATAAGTTATCTGCATTTACTTTCAAAACGACATCGTTTTGGTGTTGAAATATTAAAAAATTATAATTATAAAGACTATTATAACCCTGAAATAAATTAAAATTACAAAAACACCTTAATTTTTACCTCAAAACGATACCGTTTTGGACTCAATGTAGATAATTTATCTGAATTAACTATAGAAAAATGAACCCTTTAAATATATGTGTATAGCCAATATAAAAGTTATAAATAAAATATAAAAATTAATTTTTCAAAATATATGTATAATCAATATAAAAGAATTCAAATTTTTTATTAAAAAAAAAATGACATCTACATTCTGTAAAAAAAATTATAAAAATTTAAAGTGGCAGGATATACTTACTATCAAATTCTTTTACCATATTTACAACCAACCTATCACTGTTGATTTTCGTCAATCTAACGGTTATATTTTATTAGGAATTAATAATTAATTGATAAATACGACTCAATAATTTCCAATAAATGATAACCGTTAGATTGACGAAAATCAATGGTGATTAAGTTGGTTGTAAATGTTGTAAATTTTTTTGGTGGTAAGCATATCTTTCCCCAAATTTAAAATGCTATAAAAATGAATGACCATTAAGTGAACAGTGACCATCCAACTTCTGCATCGAAAAAGATGTTTATCATTGAGTTTTTATAGACTATTTTAATATGAGAAAAGTATTTCTGCAGTTACTGCAGATAAGTTATCTGTATTTATTTCCAAAACGACGACGTCATTTTGTTATTAAAATCTTAAAAAATTATAAATATAAAGACTATTATAACCATGAAATAAATTAAAATTACAAAAATACCATATTTTCCGCCCCATAACGACGTCGTATTGAGCTTACTATAGATAACTTATCTGCAGTAACTGCAGAAAAAGCGAACCCTTTAATAATTTTCACTACGTTTTGCATGAATTTTTTTTTAAACCTATTGATAATGTTTATTATTATGTCTATTGGGTGAATTTTTTTTTAATATTTTAAACTCAAAAACTTTTTAAATTTGAATTTTAAACTTGATGCATAGGGAAAGCGTTCAGTATTTGACATTTCTGTAGTGGGAAAAAATATGTATATATTTTAATAATAAATTTAAACTTAATATAAAACTATAGATTACATAACAAATATTTAAAATTATAAAAATATACGCAGAGTTGATAAAAAATATTTTAAATTTTAAATTTAATTACAAAAAATTAAGATATGACATTTTTATACTATAAAAGAAAATAAATTAAAATTTTAAATTAAAAATATAATACAAGAATAGAAAAAAATTGATACAAGTATTTTTAATTTTTTTATAAGTAAATATTTTAAATATATATGTATAACCATTATAATAATTTTAAATTAAAAGATAAAAATTAAGCACTGCATTTTTTGAATTAAATGTGATAATTCAAAAGACAATTCATTATCTTAATTGAAAAAAAATGCGGCAATAAAATAGTGACACATTCTTTATTTGAGAAATTAATCAATATTGGTCGCTGACAAAAATTTTAAATTTTTTTTCTCGTGCATCATCACATGGGTAATGCACTAATTTTAACTAAAAGACTTTTTTTTTCTTTTATTATTGAGTAAACGTGGTGGGCAATGATTCGGGTAAACGGTTAGTATTTGTTTTTCCAGAAACCGGAAACCTGGGCCCGTAGAAAACGGGTCGGGTACAAGTGTTAGCCGCAAGGTGAATAAGCTAAAGAGAGTGATGCAAGAACTAGGGTTTTAGCAGTAGTCGAAGGTCGTTGTGGGGTGGGGTTTTAGAAATTCAGAAACCCAATCAACAATCAGTCTTCTCTGCTAACAATGGCGACCCCGGTTCCTCCTAGTGCTGCCGCCGACAACAAGGTCGATGAGAAAGTCGATTACTTCAACCTTCCTTGTCCCATTCCCTTCGAAGAGCTCCACCGCGAAGCTATGAGTCAGTCCCATTTTCGATTCCTTTTCCTTTTTTTTTTCTTCTGGATTTCATTTTTCAAATTTGATTTCAACTTTTTTTTTTGTCTTGCTTGATTTGGGAGAATGTATAGTTCGGGTTCTTAATGTCTTTGTACGAGTACATGACAATTGAAATTTCTTTGTTTGTGGTCACTGGTCAGTGTCTTTAAAGCCAGATCTTTTTGAGGGTATGCGTTTTGATTTCACCAAGATGCTCAATCAAAAGTTCTCTCTCAATCACAGGTACCTTGCGTTTATTTCCTTAATTTTGAAGTGAAATTATTCAAGTTTATTTATTAATTTATTCATTTATTGTTGTCTTCTGATCAGCGTGATAATGGGACCTACTGAGATTCCTTCTCAGTCCACAGAGACCATTAAAATTCCAACCGCTCACTATGAGTTCGGATCAACATTCATTGATCATCCTAAGGTAACTTGGGTTTGATTGCAATGACCTTTTGGCTAGTTCATTTTAAACCGCACTCTTAATGATGATGGTTTTATGCAGTTGTTGCTTTGGGGGAGAATATTGACTGATGGGAGGCTAAATGCAAGAGTTAAGTGTGATTTGTCTGAAAATCTCACTTTTAAAGCCAATGCTCAGGTATATGTGCTTGTGTCAAACCCTCGGTATTCTGTTACTTCCCTGATTAGTTAGTATATATACGTTAGACTCTATTACAAGTACAAGAGCTTGGTGCTATGTTGACAAGTCTACTTTCAAGTTTGAAGTCCCTTACCCCTCCTTATTCTCATGTATCTTTGCTGTTTGCTTTCCTTGTCTCTTTAACTTGCTACAATCTTCTATTTTATTGTCTGCTTGTACAGCTTACGAATGAGCCACATATGTCTCATGGGATGCTCAACTTTGATTATAAGGTATTCTAGTTTCCTATCTCGAGATCAGATCATTTGATGCCTTCCTCTTCTAGCTGTACATTTGCATGTTTTTTCCGTTGAACTTTGTCTTTTCCGTTTGGAATGTATTGTGTTGGAATTTCTCAATGGAAGTTTGACATGCTATCCATACAAACTGTCTTTTTGTTGTTTTATAATTCATTGTATTTTTCAGGGAAAAGACTATAGGTCACAATTTCAATTTGGGAATGGAGCCTTACTTGGAGCAAGTTATATTCAGGTGCATGCAGTGTGCAGTATTGCTATTCCTTATATTTAATTGACAAAATGGCTGGGATGATAAAATTTGAAGTTACTTATTAGTTTGATATTTAGATCTCTTATTGATGCTTCTTTTTTCTTATCTGTTTCTAAAAATTAATGAAAATACAAGAGAAAAGATAATCAAATTGTTTCTAGATATTCTGCTCAACAGATGACAAGGCTTTCTTAGATAGTGCAACTTTTTTTGCTGACTTCGTAATCTGAAAGATTGTTCGTGAATTTAATAGTCTTGTGATGTCAAAATTCTTATAAATTGATCTGTATTCTTTTATTATAGTGTTACCATTATTCTTTAATTCAAGTAACATTTTCTTTTTCCTCTTCTGCTTTGGGTTAATTATGCGGGATATTTATAATATAGCCATGGAAAAAGTGAACTAGATAAGGATGGAAGATTTTAAAGACAGCATGAAATTTTATTCTGTCAGAAAAATTTGCTAGGTGGAAGAACTTTTCTTTTTCTTCTTTTTTTTTTTTTTTGGGGGGGGGGGGGTGAAGTTGGTCATCATTACAAGGATTAACAAAGAAGACTATTCAGGTCATTTTACATGTTTATATTATGAAAACTGTTACAGAATAATATAAACCATTAAAAAGGCCTTCACCCAACACCTTAAGGTTTTGGGTTGAAGTGGTTCTTAACATGGTATCAGAGCTTTAGTGACCACAAGGTCACAAGTTTGATCTTCACCTCCCCCCACTTGTGGAATTAAATAAGCATAAGATAAACCAAAAGAAAAAAAATTGAGCCTATGCGATATCCACGCTTCAAGCCCAAAAGACTCTTATGTAAGGGAGTGTGTTAGAGAATAATATAAACAATTAAAAAGGCCTTCATCCAACACCTTAAGGTTTTGGGTTGAAGTGGTTCTTATCAAAAACCATTGTGTTAGGAAATTGAAGGATGTCAAAATGTAGGTTTTACAACTTCAAGGTGCCTGGTTTATAGCTTGAATTAGTTGCCATTTTACTGTTGTTAATCTCTTCTGGTTCTGAGTCTTTAACAACAATGGTGAATGACACAGTTTAACTACTGAAGGTTTTTTTTTTTTTGTCATTTTTTTTTTGGGTATAAAAGGAAGGAGGATACCAAAGGATTCTATGCAAGAATTAGTTTTACTGTTATGTCAAGATGGCTGTTTCTAGTGATGCAGTGCTAGATATTAATATGGAAGAAAGCACTTTGTCAAGAAATAGAAATAATTGAGGCATTCTAGATAGATAATTGATGGTTGCTGATATTTTTCACGCAATAGTAGTTTGGTCACTAGTGCCTGGATCCCTTTCATTAAAAGTCAAGAAAGGCTCAAAGCTTTGGTGGAAAATATACCCCTTTAGATGCAACCTTACAGTTAAATCAACAATCATTTATTGAGCCAATTGATTGGTTTTGGATAATATTTGAGGTCATGTGGTTGGCAATCTGTCAATTTAATTGTTAAATGACAGAATTTCTGGTTGCTTCTATGTAAATTTGTAGACTTGTCCATCAGGCCATCATCGTTTTTCTATTAAAAAAATATGCGTATCATCAGCATTTTCTGATCGAGGTTCTTCTAGTTTAGATATTTAATTTCATTGGTTCCTATGGACTCTATTTGCTTCAAATAATAATAGTTTTACTGATCAGTTATTTTAGTTGTAGGGATGGTTTGTATATATTAAGATCTTAATGCTTGATTAGTTGTAAATTGTTATTCATATTAATAATCAAGAGTTGTGAAGATCATTAGATTGTTATTATCTATTTTTTTCTTTAATTTTATTTTTATTTTTGGTAATCTATTTGTTTCTTTATTTTAATTGGCTTCTGTGTATTTTGAGATACATTTAATTTATTATGGTAACTTTTTTTTTTCCTTTTACCTGGGATTGATGCATATTTGTTCCATTTCTTGTAAGTTTGTGTTCTCTATACTAGGTATATTTTAGAGTATTATTCTTCTAAAAATGTGCTCAGTATTACTTTGTTGATTTCCCTTAATCCTAAACACCTCTCTTAACCCAACCCACTCCATGGTGTGGAACAAATGGATGTATGTGAACTCATCTAATTTATTACTGATAACATCAACTTCCTTTTCTCAGAGTGTGACACGCCATTTGTCAATGGGTGGGGAGGTATTTTGGGCTGGTCAGCATAGGAAGTCTGGTGTTGGTTATGCTGCTCGCTACAACACTGATAAAATGGTATGATGGCTTAATATTTGCCCCTACTTATTCTTTGGCTTCTTGCCTCCTTCCCTCCGTTTATATATCTTATTTTAAATGTTTCATGTTTGTTTATTTATCTATGAATTTATGTATGTATTCTGATATTTTTAAGACAGTTCTGCCTGTTACTATTATGCTGCTTCATCAGCCAATTTCAAGAATTTTGTTTTTCTAATCTTCCTGGAGAAATCATAAAATTCTAAGAGGATATAATATGCTTTTTTTATTTATCCACTTGTCAACCATTGCTTATGCTATGTTTTATCTTATTCTATTTTCAATGATTCCGTTTCCTTTTTCTTTTCATTTTTGACGGCTACTAAAATCTTTCACCTTGCTCATGTACATTCAGGTTGCTACAGGGCAGGTTGCTAGCACTGGAATGGTTCTTTTAAGCTATGTTCAGAAGGTATCTGAGAAGGTGAGACAATTATGACATCGTATATTTATGCTATTTTTAATCAAGCTTCTTATTTTTTATCCAAAATGTTCCGTTCTGGTTTCTCTTGCATCTGAATTAATGTGTGACAAAATGTTCCTTTCAGGTTTCTTTAGCATCTGAGTTAATGTGTAACTACTTGTCAAGAGATGTCACAGCTAGCTTTGGTTATGATTACATCCTCCGGCAGGTAGTTTTTTTCTTTCATGAATTCAATCAGAGTGGAACTAGTACAGCATGAATGTGAACACGTGGACCAGTTGACTTTATGTTTTTGTATATTGGTTATAATAGAGCTTTCTTTTTCATCTATATGGGTGCATTGGAGTGAGACTTGCAGGAATGGGAGGGGCGGAGTATAAATTGACAATTCATCAATCTCTGCATCAACATCTAGATATATTTTCAAGTTTCACTCCTCCAATGCTGTTACTTCTCAATTTAACCACAGACATAATGACGCCATGAGACTGGCAAACTTAACATTTTCTCTACACATTAGATATGTATGTTTGCTTGTATGTGCACTTCATTTGCCAATGATCGGGGTGGCAGAAAATAACACTGGAACACGTTGCTAATATGCAGTATAGAGCTGTGACACAACATTTTTTTGGGTGTTTTCTCATTCCTTAGATCTTTTGTCTTCAGAATTAATTTACCAGTTTTGGTCAGATGAACAATTTTGTTCCCTGAATATTTTTTTGGTAAGATGTACTCTGACAATCTTGTTTTGGTTATTATAGTGCCGCCTTAGGGGAAGGATTGATTCCAATGGCTGTGTCGCTGCATTTTTGGAGGAGCGGTTAAATATGGGTCTGAATTTTATTCTTTCTGCAGAGGTCAGAGCATTTCCTCTCTTTTTTTCTGCTGTGTGTATGTGTGTGGATGTGGGTAGAATGCAAGAAAATCTAGTTTGGTGGGGATGTTCAAATAAGTTGGTCAGATTTTTAATTTTTTGCTTGACATTGTTTTCATATTTATTCATTGCAGCTTGATCACAGGAAAAAAGACTACAAATTTGGGTTTGGTTTGACTGTTGGAGAATAAATTAGCAGGACTAGAGCTGTGTTTGCATTGTTGTAGCCAGCTTAGCAAGCATTTTGCTTCCTTTTACTTGTTGGAGATTTTTCTTTCTAAAAAAAGAAAACAAAGGAGGAAATATTATTTATGTCGGGAAACATCATTGATAATCCACAAGTTGCTGCAGAAATTTCAGTAGTCATCGATTTATTTGGAACTTGGGCCGAAAAAACTTATTTCATTTTGAACTCTTGCCCTGTTTTCCCTTGAGGGGGATGTAGAGTGATATCAGATTAATGCATATTGTGAGATTCAATTTCAATAATGTTTCTAGTGCACGTGTTATACTTACATCTATCCATTTCTTAGGCTTTTAGGGATCTATATGACCACTGCAACAAGAATGCCTTGGTCTTGCCATTTTTTCATGCCAAAGTCTTTGCATAATTTAGTGATAGATAAAGGATTTGGTTCTGTCTTACTCTTATTAAGAGTCTTCTTACTAGAGAAAGATTTTATTGAGGGACTCACCATTTTTTATGTAATGGATAATCGACTTCATATAAACCGATTTATGTTTTTCTCTCTCTCAAAAAAGTATTCTCCCCTTTTTTTTTTTCAGTAGAAGGATATGATCAATCTGCCAACTAGGTTGGGGTAAATAATTATACTTCACGTTAAAAGGCTTTACCTCACCTTTTTTATTTTTTTACCCTTTCTTTCTCCAATTTGTTGGCCTACACAAACACAGGTTGAGTAGGACCACACTCTTCCCTTTTTTGTTCAATTTGGTGGCCTACCCTAACCAATTGATTGAGTAGGGCAAGATTGACATACAGCTTGTTATTTTCATCTTTTTACATGTTATTTCTTCGGTATTTTTTTGTTTAAATAATACCAATATTTTTATTTGAGTTATTTAACATTTTAAATTTGAGGAAGGATATTCTTACTACTAAAAAAATTCACTATCAATTCATTACCTCTATAATCACCATTGGATTATGATTTTCTCTCTCTCCAAATAATTTTCAGCATTCTTTCTATTTGGTAGTAAAAAAATCCCTCTTTAAACTTTTTGTTGGTAAGACCGGTTTTCTTACTCCATTTGAGTGATTAATTTTTATTTAGTCGTCACAGCTTAACCTTAACCAAAATGTACTTTGGGTAGCTTACCAAAAAAATAAAAAATAAAATTGTACTTTGGGTTGATCTTAGACGTTACAATATAACTAAAGTTCGCCTATATAAAAGTTTGACCAGTAAATCTTGAGTGAATTGCTCTTCATTTACTTGTCAATATGGACTGTATTAATTTTCATCTATTTCCGTTGTTTACATTCTACAGCGTATAGTGTTGGTAAACTTGGGTTTTGCTTCAACTCATAGATTACGGATCCAAGACCTACTAAAACATGCAGGTTATAATTTAGAAGGCTAATTCAAATATATACATGATACCTTACAGTAGAATTTAGTGGAGTTTCAAAACTCAAAAATTCTAGCCAAATCATAACTGCTGGACTCTTCTTATTTTATTCCAACATGGACAATGAACTTAGGGCATGTTTGGTGCATAGTATAGGATAAAGGTTGATAGTATAAGACCTGATTGAATTTTAATACTATCCAGCGTTTTACACGATATTGTATAAAATAATATATTGTATAAGATAATATCATTTAGTATTTGGTAATGCACTATATAATACTATATATGATAAAAATAAATATTTTTAATAAAAATATCTTTTAATAAAGAATTTATATAATTCTTCAAAAACTGTCATATGATATTGATTTTTATAAAAATTTATTGATTAGTGTGTTCAAATATAAATTAATTTTTATAAAAATAAAAATATTCAATATTTTAAAAATTAATATATTGAAAAATTAATTTTTATTTTAATAGATTAATATCAAAATAATATATTAATTTTTGAGAATTACATTGGTCAACAATGTTAATACATCAATCTCTCATCAGACCTTATCCCTCACCTTTAGGCCGAATTAAGTTATACATCGTTTTGATGTATTAAGGGATTATGCTATATAAGCTTATACTATACGATGGTCACACCAAACAACGAAAAATGTCATAACGTATAGTATAAGCTTATACTATCATGCCTTATACGTCACACCAAACAGGCCTTACGTAACAAAAACAAAAGCAGAAATAAAGTAAAAAAATGTCACGGGTGAATATTTCAGTTACCGCCCCATTTTAATTTGTATTTTTTTCCCTTTTAGCATTCACATTGAAATAATATTCCAAAGTAATCTATAAACGAAATCCAATTGTCCTCAAGCAAACTATATATTAAACAAATATACGAAACAGAAATAAGATAAAGGTCGGTAGTGGTGGTGGCCGTGACAAATGATAATTTTGATCATCCGTGTGCTTCAACATGCACAAAATTTAGCTTTTTTTTTTTTTTTTTTTTTCTTGTTTAAGAAAAGTTTAAAGAGGTGCAAAATCAAGATTAAGTCATTTGCCTAACCTTACTAAGAATATTAATCGCTTTAAAACTAACGAATTGGGATAATGTTTACACACAGCTTTCAAAGCATCCGAACTGATATCCATCGTTAGTATATGCGTTTGCTGTGGGGACACTAAATCTTTGCCATATTACTCATCTTGCTGTGGTTTTCCTGTCTGCCATATTGGAGACATGTACTGTGAGGGTGACAGACAGACCCCATTATTAACTTATTAAGGTTTAAAATAAATTTTAGATCCGTATGTTTTCATTATTTTGGCTTCTATTCTGTATAATATTTTTTTGAAATTTTAATCCTCATTTTTTTTATTTATTTGATTTTTTGCCCCAACATTTGAGCTCAATCCTAATATTTTTCAATTATTAAAATTTTAATCTCTATAGTTTCTTTTCATCAAAAGTAAATGATTTTTGTTTAACATATGTTGATCCATATAATTAAAGTTTTGTTAAAAAGAGTCATTGACCATAAGAGACACAAACTTCCACTACAAGAAACTTAAAAAAAAAAAAGAAAAAGGAAAAGGAGATTAACCACAGTACACCCTTTATGCCTCTCGATTACTACTATTATTGTAATGCTTGTTGCACATCACATTGTCTTACATCTCTCACATCGGCATGAGTGGCAGCATCAAAGTGCAGGCATGCAAAAGTAAAAGTTATGGGAAGACCAATTGCAATCAAATGGTGGAAATATACTAAAATAACGTGCCGTATTAATAGCATTACTCTTACTAGTATTACCCTTATGCTGTACAAGCTCAGCTAGTTACTTTTCTCATAGCAACTGAACCTCAAACTCCCAAGTTCAAGTTATACTTGAATCCCAATATGGGGAACAATGGGGTTGAGCTTCCCTCAAATGTTTAAGAAATCTTATTCTCAAAAAATGAAAAGTTGGAAACAAAATTAGGAGGAAAACGATAGAGTGATAACATTTTAAGATATGTAAACAAAGATAGGCCTCTGAGGGGTAGTTTTCCTTGGGCGCTTTCTGAAATTCACAACTTCAACACACCCATATGGCTCAGCTTCAGAGATAGATGACTCCGCTTCTGAATTATGGTTGTCATTCATATTGAAGTCAATAGGTTCAGGTTTTGGAGTGATGATGCATCTAGCACTTTGGTTGACAGGCTCTGCTGAACTCCTTTGTGAATGGTGAATTTGAGTTTGGTTTTGGGGCTCCACTGGAAGCACTGAGATCTAAACATAGCACATGATTTGAGTCACAAGTAATACACAAGTTAACCAAAAATAAATAAATTTAAATCAGATTATTGCAGTTACCTTGCATGTAATGGAGCAGAAGCGATTACGATCATCTTGAATGTGTTTTCCACATTGTTCACACGTACCACCCGACTTTGGTCTTGTTGATATGTTGGTTTCTTTGGATTTAGACTCAGGGCTTAGATCAGCAGATTTAGATTTAATGGTTGAAGGCCGGGGTTTGAGATGCACAATCCTTTCATTATTGGATACGTAAGTCTGCCAAATCATGTCATCATTGTTAGAAGAAAATTATGTTCATTAATCAATTTTTAATTACTATTAAGAGGATAGTTAGATTTAATGGGTCATATATACCAATTAAGCAATGAGGTTCAGGTATTTTTCAACCATGTTCAACAAAAACTACAGTACAAAGGAAAAATAAATAAACATAGCTTATTTCACAGATAACTGCATTAGAAAATTAATGACAGGATACATAATTCATTGAGTAAAGCTTATAAAGGTTAAAGTATTCTGTACAAAACCCATTTAGAAAATTTAGTCATTGTAAATCCAACAAGTTATCACACCATTAATGGCTATGTCCATTAGAAAACAGCTACCCGAGCTACATAATCCATTAGAAATAAAACTGCATATTATTTCCATCAGAACATCAAAGGCCTTAGGTCTATCGATCACATAATAAAGCAAAACAAATCAACCACAATATAGCAGCAAGTAGCAGCGAATAATATTGATATCAAGAAACTGAATTGATTTAAGTTAAGTAGAAAATCAATCAATCATTTCTAATAATGAATTCTATGATATCTCGTGAAAAAGAAGAGAGAACCTGAATTTTGGTGCAGTCAAAATACTTCTGCAGCTCGGAGTGGCGGAAGACATCCTGAGAGGAATATTTGTAAATCTGAAACCTTCTATGGAGGGAATGAGCTTCCTTACAGTGCCTACACAATCTAACCCCACAGTCTACGCAGAACACATTCTTCTCATTAGATCGAAGGTCATGGTGATCATCACAGTAACCAAAGCTGCTATTCATAAGAGCTCTAATCCAATCTTTATTCCTTTCCTTTGGTACAAGATTCTGCTCCACCTGAAAAATCCATCAAAAGGGATTCAAGAACCCATAAAAAAAAAAAACCAAAACTAAAGCAAAACACAGTTCAACAAACATGAATCCAAACAGTAAACTTTCCTCAACAAATTACCAGCAGATTATTCTCCAAGAAATCTAAACCTAACTCTACTACCTCAAAATGTCACTTTAATCCCAATATTCAAGTTCAATGACACAACAACCTAATCTGAAGATGCGACTCAGCAAATTTGAGACACAGTGATACTCTTAATCTTAACTGAGATCAACTTTACAAACGATAATAGAAAGATTACTCCAGTGAAGACTAACAGCATATGCTAAACAGTATCATTAAGAATCACATGCATCCAAAAATGCAAAGAAACTGAGTCAGTATCAATGATCATGGAATTGCAAACAAATTACAAGAAATCAAAGAGAAAAAATCAAAACTTTTTAAGAACCCATTGAAAATTAGAGTCCAAAAATCATAGAATTGATTATTTACTTACCATCTCTTTGATTTCAGATTGGGAACACAGTAGCAGATGCGGTTTGAGGGCAACTGAAGAAACAGAGAACTCTCACTGTGAATGTGAGATTGAAATTAGGGAAAACAAAACAACAAACAAGCAAAAGGGTATTAAAATTTTATCATTATTATTATTATTTAAAAAGAAGATAAAATTTTTAATTCAAATATATAATAGATATAAAGAAAAAAAAGTGAAAATGGAAGTAAAATCGCTTCTTTTTCTGCATAAAAGATGTGTCGTACAAACGGCGGGAAAGTGAATGCACTGATGCCGTTGGATTGGAATGTGATCGTACGGTATTCGTTGTTTAAGATTGAATGTCCCGTGGGACCCACATGAGAAAAGTGCGGAAGCTCCCAAAAAGCCCCTAGCTGGCCCCCATCTATTTCCCGCCAATTTAACCGAAATTCTCGGAATCCATAATTTCCTTTTTGTTTTTGTTTTTTAAATGACATGCAATTATGTGATGGCCCAAAAGATACGGTATTCGTATATAAAAGATTTTATTTTTATTCTCTCTGATGTAAGTCAATATTTGTATTACAAAAAAAAAAAAACTGTTATTTGTCATTTGATGCAATTTAAAATATGTAGGAAAATTAAGTGACATCAGTTAATGTAGATATATTATCTATATTGAGTACAAAATGATATCATTTTGGGACGGAGATAAAGATATTTTTGTAATTATAATTTATTTCATGATTATAATAGTATTTCTCAATATAATTTTTAAATTTTTCAATTCAAAATGATGTCATTTTGAGAGTAAATATAAATAACTTATCTATTATAAAAATATTAAAGTCAAAAAAAAATTACTCATTTTAAAAACTCAAAAAAACAGACTGTGTCTTTTTCTAAATGTTTCTTCTCATGTAAATCATAATTCCTACTCAATAATCATTTAGCATCCTATCAGAATATCCATTTCCTTTATATGGTTGTGGGAAAATCTCAGATCCAACTCTTACTTATTTTATTTTTTTCTCAAAAAATAATTCTCCTGAGAGGTTTGCAATATTTGCATGAGAATCACTTTCGATGATGAGCTCCTCCTATCCTGGTCTTCACGCCACCATAATTTCCAAAAGTATACAACATAGCTCCAAAAGAAACATATGTCTTGTCCAACACGTTCAGTGAACCCAATCAACCATGGCCCGTTTTCATCCCTCAATACTTTTCAACAAATAGCCACAATTAGGGCAAAATAATTATGTAAATTTAAAAATAAATTATTCAATTAATGCTGGTATAAAATTATTTTCCAAACTAATACAACTGCATAAGAGAGATGCACAACCAACCTATGGTGCAACCAGGTAAATTAAGCACACCCTCCATGTGCAACTATTGAAATCTAATGCTCATAATAGTATCGTGTCTCTAGTGAGTGAGATCCCCATCAGCTTTATCTACGTCGCTCGTCAAGGAAATATAAGTCATGGTCTAAATGCAAACTAACAGTCAGTCATCCTCGATACTTAACAAGTGATTGATGTATATGATCCAAATTTCAAATATTCTCTTTCTAAGAAGAATTTTTAATGAAATTATTGTTTCGTATTAATAATTTCAGCATATTTTTCCTTTTCATGTTGTATATTTTATTTTTCTGTAAAATTACTTTTTAAATGATCACTCATCAAAATAAAAAAAGCAAAGCAAAATATAACTATTCTGTTCTAAAAATTGGTTATTCTATTAACGTTTCATATATATATATATATATATATATATATATATATATATATATATATATATATATATATTTGGTGAAGGGCACAACCCCAAAAAACAAAACAAACTACATCAAAGAGTACCTAGCTCTGTGTACAGAGCTAAAATCAGAGAAGTACAACCACCTAATATCTGGGGGACATGAAAAATCATAAAATCTTCTTGGTCTTGCTTTATCAAAGGTAGATTAGCTAGCCAATCTGCGCAAATATTTCCTTCCCTGTAAGTGTGAAGCAACCTAACAGTCCAGTCCTTTGAGAGCCATTCCCGTATACGAGTCACTAAATGAGACTCGCGGGATTCATCACCAAGTTTGGTGAGCAAAGTGATAGCATATGCTGAATCACTCTCCAAAATAATTTTTCTCCAACCTCCTTCCCAAGCTCTTTCCAATCCTTTAAGAATACCCCACAACTCAGCTATAATTGCTGTGCAGTGGCCTATTCTATAAGAATAAGCTTCCAACCATTTTCCATCTGATCCTCTAATTAGTCCTCCACAAGCAGACATACCTGGATTACCTTTAGAGGCCCCATATGTATTAATTTTAATCCAATCATCTTCAGGAGGTATCCATCTAATAAACTTCTCAGGCAAACCACTCCTATGCATACTGTTACCATCTGATTCCACGGACATCATAATCTCCCTAGCAAATAAAAAGATAGCATTCAGATTGTACCTGTTAAGCATACTGCCTGAACCATGTATCATGTCATTCCTCCAAGTCCAAGCCTTCCAAATGGTAATACCAAATAACAGCGCCCAGGGAATATTACAGCACTTAGTTGACAGCTGTTTCAAGTTTGCGATTAGCCAATCCTGCCGATTCAAAACATAAAAATCTGGAACAACCAAATGGGGTGATAGCCGAATCCAAATATTACCAATACTAGGACAATCCCTCAACAAATGCAAGGTATTTTCAATATTTTGATTACAAACCAAACAAGTTGAGCTTCCCAAATTAAATTTGTTCAGCCTACTCTTTGTTAATAACCTGTCATGACCCACTTTCCAAAGAAAAAACTGTATTCTCTTAGGACCAAACCACTTCCAGATTAGCTTCCACAAATTAGGTCTCCCACTTGGAGTAAGATAAGGATCAGCAAGAGCAGAATATAATCTTTTCACAGATAATTTTGGAGAATTAGGAAGATACCAATGAACTTTATCAGCTCCATCATTGCAATTAGATTTCCACCCCGAGAGTTTATCATTGATTCTATCAATCGTTGCCTTGTATGACTCTTTTGTGACTCGGCCATGTTGCATTCAGGCTCCCAAATAACGACCCACATTTCTAACTCTCTTGAAATTACAAATATTTGAGATGTTATTGGCCAAATCCTCCAGGGTAATCTTAGAGAAAAAAATACTTGTCTTTTGAATACTGATCTTTTACCCTGAGATTTCACCAAATAAATCAAGACACTTTAGAACAACATTTATCTGATCCACACTAGCCTCAGCAAAAAGCATCAAATCATCTGCAAACATTAAATGAGACAATTTAGGACCATCCTTTCCTATTCGAAAAGGTTTCCAAAGACCACCATTGACTACAGTTTGAACTATATGGGAGAATTAAACGTTTCATCTATTTAAATTTTTTATTAAGCAACCACAGTTTCTTTTCTTTTCTTTTTTTATTTTGGTAAACATGCAACCAAAAAATTTAAAGGACAACACTTTTGTCAAAAAAATTAGAGTAAAGCTCATTTTCAGTCCCTAATAAAAAAGACGGTCTCCACTTTTATCCCTTAGAAAAAAAATCAATTTTTGGTCCCTCTACAATTTCAGTTCTTTGAAAATGTGATCCCCCAGAAATTTAATGAAGACCCAATTTAGTGCCTAAAAATGACTAATATGAATTTTTTTTTGTAAAGGACGAAAATCGGGACTGTATTTTTTTGTTAGAGAGTAGAGACCCAAGATGAGCTTTACTCAAAAAATTATTATTTTAGACAATATCAAAACACACCTTGTAAAATATATCAAAGAATAATTTTTAATTTTTTTTATTATATATAAGAAAAATAAGCAATGCTAAGCTTTATATATACTTTTGGGTTAAAGTAAGCGCTGGACTCAGAATTTTTTATGGTTGGGTTGAAATTTTTTTTATCATAAATACTTTTATTTATAATAAAATATGAACATAATATTACAAGTTTAAAAAATTTATATAAAAAAAAAGTCACTTTACTTAACTCTTACTCTATGTTTTTAATTTTTATTTTTAAACTCTTATGTAATTGAATTTGTGTTATTTTTAATAGGGATATTGTAACATCCCGAGCGCTGGCGAGGGCGGAGAGTGATCGCCGGTGCGAAAGGACATAGAAAAGGAGCGGCTCCTGACAGGCTTCCAGCGGGGATTTACATGAACGAATGAATCGAATCGACACCCGAAAGAGAGGGATTCCAAAGACTGTGCAGGTAGGAGACTGCGCAGTTTGGGATACCTTATAAGAATTAATTGGTACTACCTATACTAACAAGATGCATCTGCTTTTCGGTAGCCCGGAACGGAAGAACTCCACAGTTAAGCGTGCTTGACTTGGAGCAATTCTGGGATGGGTGACCTCCTGGGAAGTTTTTCCGGGAAGTGTGCGAGTGAGGAAAAAGCACACTGAAAAATCTCGTGTTAGTATGTGGGGACAGTCGTTGATTCTTGAAGCGGCCGGGCGTTACAAGTGGTATCAGAGCGGGGCCTCTCTTCCAGTACGGTATGGTTCGAGGATGAACCAGGCTGAAGCTGGTGGGCATGTAACATCCCGAGCGCTGACGAGGGCGGAGAGTGATCGCCGGTGCGAAAGGACATAGACAAGGAGCGGCTCCTGACAGGCTTCCAGCGGGGGTTTACATGAACGAACGAATCGAATCGATACCCGAAAGAGAGGGATTCTAAAGACTGTGCAGGTAGGAGACTGCACAGTTTGGGATACCTTGACTTGGAGCAATTCTGGGATGGGTGACCTCCTGGGAAGTTTTCTTGAGAAAAGTCTCGTGTTAGTATGTGGGGACAGTCGTTAATACTTGAAGCGGCCGGGCGTTACAGATATGTTATTCTTCCTACTCTTATTTTACCTACATTTGCCTACCCCTTTCAATATCATTAGATTACAATTTAATATAACGGTGGAGATTTACGATATAAAATAAACTTTTTTTACCTCTTTCTCTCTCTTCTACTGCCTCTCAATTTTTCTCTCTCCTCCCCTTTCTCTTTCTTCAATGAGCATTTACATAAAAATTTATTTTATGAGCATTTTACATAAAATTAAAAAAAAAATTCAATTCATTCAACTCAATCATTGTTATGTGCATCTACATAAAAAATTAAAATTGGCTGTCAAGAATAAATAAACTCAGATGCCCTATGTTATGGAACGAGGTAAGCCTATTGTTGGGCGTAACATAGAAAGAACAGATATTTTTTTCCCACTCCAAGTTAAAAAATAAGATAAGAAGAAGGAGATAAGTTGATTCGTTTCAAATTTCAACAGCAAAGTAGAAACGTTACTGTAATCGTGGACTAATTCAAATGAAGGGTTATTCAAGGTTTTCGTTTTTTTTTTTTTTGTAATTTTGTGATTTTGCCATGTTCAATTATATCATATTCAAGAAATTTTGAAAATTATATTCATCAACAGAACTATTGCATGGATTTAGATTCAAATATAAATTAAGGTTGTAAATTACGCAAATCAATAGAGAGAAAAAGGAGGAGATAGAAAAAGTGTGGAAGCAGTGAAGAGAAAGAAAGAGAAAAATGATTTATTTTATTAATAACCAATATCTTTTTAGTATGTTTAAAATATTATAAATATAAGCAAATAAGATAGGAAAACTTCTCTATATAAGCAAACAATTAATTTTTTCCACTATTATTTTCAAAAAATAAATATGAAATTAAGGAAACTAACAATTATTAAACATTGAAGTTTTGAGTACTAAGTAGTTATGAATTGAAATTACCGCGTTACTGTTTCACACGTTACTGTTTCACATTAAGAAGTTATAAATCCAGTCAATGACGTTGTAAAATGATTGAAAAATATTATATTTTTGTATCATTTTGTTTTTTTAAGGCTTTCTTTTAATTTCAAACAATTAAGATTAGAAACATAGTTATAAAATGATTTCCGTCCCAAAATGATGTCGTTTTGGGCTCATTGGAGATAACTTATCTCCATTGACTGGAGAAATCGTTTACCCTGTATATATATGAGTTTGATATTTGTCATTTTAAATGACATCAGTTATGTCATTTTAGGAGAGAGATAGACACAAGAAATGTAAATCATGAGAGAGAAAGCAGATGATTTTTTAATTTAAATTTTAAATAAAAAATATTATTTTCTGTCTATCTCTATTTTAAAATGACAAATACTTTTATATATATATATATATATATATATATATATATATATATATATATATATGAGGTAGGATCCTTTGACACCAGTGTCAAATTTTAAATTTGACACCTCATATGAGAGCCGTTAGATAAAAAAAGATCAATGATGTCACATGCTTACAAATCAGAGTTGTTGATCTTTTTTTATCTGACGGCTCTCAGACGAAGTGTCAAATTTGAAATTTTACACTGATGTCAAAGAATCCTACATCATAATATATATATATATATATATATATATATATATATATATATATATATGGATTTTGCATTCATCATTTAACATGACCACCAAAAATTTCTTACACACACAACATTTTGTGGGGCCTGCATGTTTTGAAGAAAAAAAAACTACGGCACGCAAAACGAATCTCTATAACATAACACAATCACTTTTCCTACAACATAACTTTTATAAAACCCTATATATATATATGAAAATAATTATCTCATACAACAGAGACAAAGTAGTGAGGTCCACTATTTTTTCTTTTTTTAAAAAATAGTAGACCTCACTATCTTGTCTCTTTAGCATGATATAATTATCTCATGCAATATATATATATATATATATATATATATATATATATATATATATATATATACGAGTTCACTTTTTCTACAGTCACTTTATATAATTTATCTACGTTGAATCCAAACCGACGTCGTTTTAAGACAGAAATCAAAGTATTTTTTGGTTATGTCATTTTAAGAGAGAGACATACACAAAATAATATTTTTTATTTAAAATTTAAATTAAAAAACACCCACTTTCTCCATCATGATCTCCATTCTTTGTGTCTATTTCTCTCTTAAAATGACATAACTTATGTCATTTAAGATAACAAACATCAAACACATATATATATATATATATATATATATATATATGTATATATATACACACGTTATGTCATTTTAGGAGAGAGATAGACATAGAAAATGAAAATTGTGGGAGAGAAAGTGAGTGGTTTTTTTTAATTTAAAATTTAAATAAAATTTTTATTCTGTGTTTTTCTCTTTCTTAAAATGACATAACTTTATGTCATTTGAAATGATAAACATTTTTCCTATGTATATTGTTTGTACAAAAAGCATTTTGCAATGTGAAACGAGCTGAAAAGAATTTTATGAAATAAAAAAAAGGGAAAAGTGTCTATCATTTAAAATTACACAACTTACCTCCTTTCACTCTCACAAAGAGGTGAGACCCACACCTTTATTTATTTTTATCAACTATCTCTCCTCCTTTATCTATCTCTTTCTCTCTCTTAAAATGACACAACTTTACATCCTTTAAAATTATACACACTTTTCCCATAAAAAAAATAAAAAACAAGGAAGTTAGTTACTTAATTCGTTGCAAACTACCCACTAACGCAAATCCGAAGCGAGGCCCGCGAACCTAGCGTTATTCTGTTCATAAGGAGAATAAGAAACATGTCATGTTCCCTTTCTGAAATTACCCCACTACCCTTACCGTTTTGCACCCTTCAATCACACATTCTCCTTCATCAACCTTGTTCCCATTTTCTCTCTCTGTCACCATTGTTTGTAATTGTCGCTGTTTGGTTCTGAGAAAACCGTGTACGATATCGAAATGTCGGTATGTTTTAATGTTCTTATGTGATCCGCTGCACACTTCTCTTGCCATGTTTGTTTGGTATTGGTGCTCATTGCTGTGAATTTTCTCAGTAGAATAACTTTATTGTTCCTGAAGTTTGTCTTCTTTTCAGATCCTATATGAGTTTCTTCTATTATGCTCTTCTTTTTTGTTGATACATAACAATGCCTTTGCTTATTGACCCTGATATGCCATTTTTTCTTTACAAAAATTGTGATATAACCTCAAATCACAGATGGTTTAGATTTTGCAGTTGTAAGATATGCTTTTCTTGAAGCAGTGACAAGTTAATTCAAATAATGTTAATTATTTTTTAAAAGAGGAACTAATTTTCATTTGTCATTCATAATTCTTTTAGAAATAACGAAAAAAATAAAATATCTCTGTTACTGTTTAACTACTTGGTTATTACTATAAGGCTTCCTGGTTTGCAGAATATCATCCTAGAAAATAACTAAATTTATTATTTGATGTGCAGGCCCCAGTGGACCCTACTGATCAAGGTGTTGATGCCATTCCCCGCTCTACGGCTGCCCCAAATTGGACAATTAATGTTTCAGATGTAAGGAAGAAATTGTTACAGAATAAATTGGTTAACATTATGATAGTAGAACACATGATCCAGGAATCCATATTATGTTTCCAGTGTATGTGCCTGCATGCCTTTCACTGTAAAACTTTCGCCATTAGCAGAAGCAGCATTGGAAAACTAACACTAGATATTACAATTTTTTTAAGATATTCTAAATCCATACATGCATAGAGGACTCAAACTGACTCTAAGAAGACTAATTTCAGTTTCATTTGACAAAATGTGTCTGCTGATTTTGATTATTTTTTGGTTATTTTGGTTAATCATTAAAAGCAATTCTTTTATCTCTACTATGCCCTGTTGCTCCTCTTGTTGGTATTTGTTTCATGCCAAACTTTTGGGAAGTTTATCTGATTTTCAATTAACCCTTGATTGAGAAATCCAAACCCAAGTTGATTCCTTTTTACTTCTGACAGATAAGAACAGTTAAGGTAAACAATATATCAATGGTTACTACGGAGAAGGATATTAGAGATTTTTTTTCATTCTCGGGTGAAATTCGATACGTTGAGATGCAAAGGTCAGAACCCCCTTGCAATGTATTTATCTTTATTCATTTAAATGATTTTATTGTCACCCTCAATATCTTTCGTGGTAATTTTGCAGGGAAACTGAGAGCACTCAGATTGCATATGTTACCTTCAAGGATTCACAGGAAGCAGACACAGCAGCGCTCTTGACGGTATAAATAAGATGCGATACACCAATTTATACTAGAATTCTTTTCCATCAAGCAAGCAGAGAAAGAAGAAATTATTGATTATCATTAATTCACTAAAATGATTCTAATAGAAACATAATCAATAATTTCTTCTTTCTATGTTTCTATTATTTTCAGTTGAATTTTTTTTTTTTTTGGGGATAACATCATATGCTTACGCTACATTTTTTAGTATAGGGTTCCAACATAGCTAATGTTTCTGTCACCATCACACCTGTTGAGAACTACCAGCTGCCCCCTGATGCTCTTCCCTCAAGTCCTGTGAGTACCTAATTTTTATTCAAATTCTATGATATTTATTGCATGCAATTGAGTATCATCATTCTTCGTTGTGCTACTTCTAGTACATCCATATATGCTTAATTATGCTATTTATGTTCAATTTTGCTGAACACGGTTGTTCACTTGTTCCCTGTGCCTGCCCAAAATATCAGTCCCGAAGAAACTTAGTGGTGCTTGTGTGTTTTATATGTATGACATTAAATTAATATTGACGGCAGACTCCTAGCTTCAGGTTTTGAAACACATTGCTTCACGATTGTAGAAAAATTTATAGGATGCATAACATATTTCATGATGTCAGCAACAAATTTACAGCTTAATAATTAATGCAAACTGACTCCTACATGAGGATGATGGCGCAAAATCTTTTATAAACCAAATTACCGCTTGTATGATAATGATATCCTAGCAGATGATCTCTAGCTTTGTCCATTTAAAACATTTTTGTTTGAAGTTAGATTAATAACTAAATGGCTACATCTGTACGCATCAGGCGCTCAAATATACTAACAGCTTTGTTATATGCAGAGTCAACGCATGTATATATACAAATTTTTTGTTTTCAAAGTATTCATAAATGAAGTTTCTAATGTACAATGTTATTCTTAGGAGAAAAAGCAAACTTCTGCTGCTGTTAAGAAGGCTGAAGATGTGGTGAGCACCATGCTTGCCAAGGGTTTCATTTTAGGAAAGGATGCAATCAACAGGGCAAAATCCTTTGATGAACGTCACAACTTGACCTCAAATGCTTCTGCCGCAGTTGCTTCCATTGATCGTAAAATGGATTTAAGTGGTAAACTAAGCATTGGAACATCTATAGTCAATGACAAGGTGAGAGAGATGGATGAAAAGTTTCATGTTTCTGAAAAGACAAAGTCTGCTATCGCTGTTGCTGAGCAGAAGGCAAGTAGTATCATGAGCTATCCTTACGTATCAACTGGAGCTTCATGGGTGTCAACTGCCTTCACTGCTGTTGCAAAAGCAGCTGAGGATGTAAGCACAATGACAAAGGAGAAGGTTGAACTTGCTCAAGTGGAAAAGAAGGATATTATTTTCTGTGAAAGGAAAGGAACCGTTGATGAATTGGCACAGATACACTCTGAGAAGCCTTCAGAAATTCCTGCTCATTCAGGTCATGATAGTAAGTTGGGAATTATGTGACTTGAGCTGACTTACGATCATTTGGATTGGTTTAGTTTGTTTAGTTATAGTCAGAGTTTCACTCTTCAGTTGCTTCAAGTTTGTTGTATGATGATAAGTCCTGTGAATTGTTATAATGATGTAAAAGTTGTCTGACGGATCTGATTCTTAAATATGGATCAACAATATTCATGAAAAAATGATTAATATTTTCTATTTTTCTATGTTCCTTTTTTCTTCACATACCTCATTAAACAGAAATAGTTCGAACTTGCCTTTCTTCCTTGTAGCAAAAGACAAAAAGAACGAACCAATAATCACAGATGTTTCGGAAAAGAAATTTTCTTCTTGATTTGGTGCTCAATGTTCTTCATAGAAAAAACATTGTTGCTCATGTATATATAAAAAAAAACAATTGTTTCTCTGTTTAATAGCAATGTATTTTTAACGCTATTAAAAATCAAATTTAGACAATATACTCAAGAAAATTAATCATGTTATGCGTTTGTACAATAGGCCCATATTTTAAAAGACCCAATAAAAAACAACAGAAAGAGAAAACTAAAAAAAATAAACAAAAGAATCATTCATTGATGCCAAATGCCAATCCTAGTACAACATTCGTGAAACTAGTATTGGGCTCCACAAAAATCATTAAGGCTTTGTTTGGGAGTTAGTTTTAGGAGGGGAATGATAGAAAATTGAGGGTTTTAGTAAGCCCTTCCCTTGTTTGTGAATTTAAAAAAAAAAGAGGATAAGAGTTTGGAGATTTTTACAAAACCCTCTAAAACTCTTCTTCTTCTTAAAATTAAAGTTCCCCCAATTTGGAGGGTTTGAGGGAAAAATATTAAAAATACTTATCTACCCTTAACGTTAAAATGTTAAAACTACATAATTGTGAATCATTTTTAAACACGATATTATTAGAAAAATCTCAAATACCGACATAATTTATTGACGAAAAATAATGATTAAATTTTTGATGAAAATAATATATGTCAAAAATTTTCGTCAAAACTATAGACAAAATTAGAGACGGAACCAGATTTTGCCATAATCACTAACATAAATTTTGTACGAAAAAAAAATAAGTCAAAATTATTGACAGAATCTAAATTGCGTCGAAACTTTTAACGAAAATATTTCCGTCCAAAATTTTGATGAAACACATTTTCATCGAAAAGTTTCGACGTAAAAAATTACGTCAAAATTTTTACGAAAAATATTTCCATCAAAATTGTGACGAATTTTTTTTTTGTCAAAATTATTTACGGAATCTAAATTTTGCCAAAATATTTCACAAAAAAATTATTCATCGAAATTTTTGATGAAAAATATTTTCAACGAAACACATTTCTATCGAAAATTGTTGACGAAAAAAAAAATTCTTTAAAATTTTTAACAGAATTTAAATTTCGCCGAAAGTTTTCGACGAAAATATTTTCGTTAAACTTTTTGGCAAAAAAATGTCGAAATTTTTAATGAAACACATTTTCATCGAAAATTTTCGACGGAAAATATTTCCATCAAAATTTTCAACGGAACGCATTTCTGTAAAAAAATTTCGATAGGAAATATTTGTGTAAAAATTTTTGACGAAAAATATTTAAAATTTTTTTTTGACGGAAAAAATATTCTGTCAAAATTCTTTAGAGAATCTAAATTTCGTTAAAAGTTTCGAATGAAACATTTCCCTCAAAATTTCTAACAAAACAATTTCTGTCAAAATTTTCGTCAGAACACATTTCTATCGAAATTTTGAACAAAAAACGTTCCGTCAAAATTTTTGACAGAATTCTTTTTTCGTTTAAAACATTTGATGGAAAATAAATTTCGTCGAAAATTTCGATAGAAAATTTATTTTTGTAAAAATTTTCATCAGTTGAAAAATTCTATCGCTTTTCGACGATAAATATTCCGATAAAAAAATAATTTTGTGATGAAATTTTCATCGTTTGCAACGTAAAAATTTCATCGAAAATATGATCTTTTTTGGTGTTGTGAAAAGTACATACATAATTTTGTTAGAATTTTTTTTTTTGATAAAATTTTGTTAGAAATTTTAAATTGAATTTAATTTGTAAAATATAATAATTATATTAATTTAAAAAAAAAGAATAAAATGGTAAAAAAAATCTCATTAACCCTCAATTTTTCTCCTTTACCATTTTTTTAACTGCCAAACAAGGGAAGGGAATACCCTTCAATTCTCTTCCCTTCCCTCTCCCCTCTAAACTCCCAAACAAAGTTTAAAGGTCCATAATTCCACGTTTAAATGTAAACTATATATATAAATAAGAAGTAAAATTTGCAAGCATGATATTTACTCTCTCAGAGTCTCTCTTATATATTTTGTATTGCACACACATCATCCTTTTAGCTGCGCTGTTGTTCTGTACATCATCCTATTTAGTTTTCTCACAAGGATATTTATGTTATTTAAAAATAATTTACTTTTAAACAGTAGAATGTCATTTCATTCCAAGATTTATCATTCTTTAGAATTGGAATGGCCTGGTCCTATCAAATTAGCTTATTCATTTTTTAAATAATTATAACATTTCATGTATCAAATGATATGCAAAAGATTTTGGAGTTGTTTCATTTTAAAGCAAAACATTTTATATTAAATTTAAAATGTTGTATTATTTGATAATTGATACAAATCATGATTTTAAACTATAAAAATAACATTGAAACCTATTGTAAACGAACTTAAATTTATATATATATATATATATATATATATATATATATATATATATATATATATATATATATATGAATTTGTCAAATATATTGTCACTTGATATAAGGTTTGGTGCAGTAAAAAATTTTGCACTATGTATTCCCAAAACACGTGGATAAAAAATATGATATCATTTAATCAATTATCATTTAAAAATTTAACAAAAATTGAATAAAAAAAAAACTAATAATTAAATTATTGCTTATGACGGTAAAGAGTTTAATAATTAAATTACCTTAAAAATTTATTTATTTTATTTTAAAATTTGGGTTGATAACACCCTTATTCGTACGCGTCGGAGAGAATGTCCGTTTAATTGTATTGGAGAGCTCATAGTAAGATATTTTCATTAACAGACAAGATTTGCAAGCAGGTCCAAAACTGGTTTTATTAAAACAAAGGAAAACCCTCTGTCTTCTAAAAATCATATAAATTCGAAATCCGAACCAATTGACCTAAAATTTTTATGGGAGAAAATAGACATCCGTAGCTTTAAAATGGTATAAGATTCACCCCAATTGGAGGTCTCTAGCCCTGAGAATAAATTTTTCAAATTACAGGACAATATACAATTTTGACAGCATCTTTGTAATCTAGTGTAAAACGATTTCAAAACTTGTTTCCTTGTTCCAAGCTTACCTGCTTTCGTAATTCAATCTACTATCATGATCAAGAAAATCTAGTTTCAGCTTGAGATTATACATGGTATATCATTTCATGTAACACCCCGTCTGTAGCCGGTTAATTAATATTTATGTGATAATAAGTCCAACATGCTCAACTTAATTAATGCGGAAGCTAACTAAATCAATTTTCTTTTTTTCTTTATGTATTGCGAACTTTTCCACTTCCATGGCTAAAATAAAACGGACAACATTTTCTCTGTATTTTGGACCACTGGGAATAATTCCCATTATGATAATCTTAACCTGATTGACAGTTTAATATAATCCAGACATAAACCATATTACTTAGCCATCCATGGTCTAGGCTATCTCAATATCATACTGTCTCAAAATAATGTCCATGATATTACTTGTATAATTACATCAAATAAACAAAAAAGATGCAATTAAATAAGTAACATAGACCTGAGCATGCATAACTAACAGCATATACAGACTATCGACATGGCATAAACATCTCCTATGTTCTCAAAAAATATACATGGCATATACAACTCCAAATAAAGTATGTCAGGTACAATCTAAATATCCAGAGGACCCTGACAATCATGTCAAGTAGTATCCCTCATCTAGCCTCTTGCCACGCGATGCCTCAGCACCATCAGCTCCTGTACTTGAAATGGTGATCCCCATAACGCGGGGTGAGATACTATAATTACCTCAGTAAGCTAGGGACCCTTGGAGGGCTACTCCACCCTAAGCCACTTCTGGTATAAACTCAGTATAAAAATCCATGCATGCATCATAATATGTATGACAATACAGTGTGCAATAATGTAATCCTACTGGCCAGAGAATATAATAAGTATGCATTACGCAAGGAAACACTGTCTTGCAACATACCATATGAGGAAACACCGTCTTATGCCTCACACAAGGAAACATTGTCTTGTGTGGCACACAAACATACTTACATATACATGCAACATATAACAGTTCATATCCATATACCATATAAAAGTACCAGACTCCGAGACGAGGGATTAGCCCCAAGGACCGAAAGCTTACCTGGCAAGCAGTGTCCTCCACTACTTCTCGTGTCTACGGCGTCACGATCTCTCACAATGTCAGTCACAACCTAGTTCCAAGATGTGAAGACAATCAATATTCCTATATACCAGTCTACCACGTTTAATTTTCAGACTACACATACAAGAAACCTACACTTGATTTTTAGTCCAATTTATCAAAGTATCCTAAACGGCCATTTCATAATTTTTCCTTTTACGAGAACCAATCTCAATCATATTTAACAAAGGGAGTCATGTCCAAATCACTCTCTGACTATCCATACTATGACTTACCTCAATATGAAAAATCCACAAATCTCCAACTCAAGCGAATGTGGATTCCAATCCGTGGAATTTGCTCAAAACAACGTTGGGATCATCTCTACAACATGAAACAATAACAACCAATCACTATTAATCTTCTAAAATATCAATTTTCGGATGGTTACTATTCATCATCACCCTAAATTCAAAATTTTCAAGAAAATGGAGTTTAAGAGTTGGAAACTCACCGCACAACACCCTAAAACGATGAGAGCAACTCCTTTCAAGCTTTCATAGAGTGAGAACCTCTCA